TCCCGAATAATTTTCAGCCTGATCTGTCATTGAATCGGCGTTTAGTAATTACAATCTACAAGGTGCATGCTTTTCGCGTTAGGAAAATCATATATTTCTCTATGCCTTTACGAAGATATCACACAGAGTTCGTGAAATCTTGCAATGGATCCGGGCTGTGTTGTACATTTCATGAGGAGCTTTAGTAAGCGGATATGTACGGTCTTAGAGGCATGGACATCGCACGGTCTTAAAAATCTCATAACTATAAACTTTTGAAAACCTAAATGTACACTTTCTTCGGGCATAAAGTATAAAGACAATGTGATTTTCCACCAAATGAGCAAAAAAGCATATTTTTATGAATGTTTCTTGTGAAATATATTTGAATTTATAAGACTATCAACAATCAATACGAAAGATTCATGATACATATATAGCCATAGGAGTGTGTTTTCTGCTTGAGATCAAAAATAAGTGCAGTTAGAAGCCGACATACTGTCAAGTCCGAAACGATATAGGGTTATGCTGCGTGTTAAGCAGGTTACCAACCCCACTTCAGTAATCCTTCCTAATCGGAAACGCATTCCAGAATTTTGGCCATTTCAAGAGATCGGTCACGCAGTGTATATATAAATCTGCAAGGACATCAAAAATCAACACAACACACACACGCTACTCTTTTACAGAGTTTGGTGTTCGCAAACGGCCGAAAAGGAGGTTGTTCTAAAGCCCACATCATAAAGAAATTGAATTATTATAGAATTGTTCCACAGTGATCACTATTATAACCCTATTTGAGTAATCCTTTCGAGTCAAAAACGCATTTCAGGATTTCGGTCGACATATCCTGACTTAGCACATCCGCTGTATATTCAAAGAAAATGGCTAGTCCAACCATGGCAACTTGAGCTTCCGGATGAATAATCTAAGACTTACACTCCAAATTGCCGTCAAGGATAGCAGCTGCTAGGGATAATCGGTGCAAAAGGAGTGCAGTCCTATGGCCTAGAAGCCAGAATGTTCGCGCAAAAAACAAATACAACTCCAGGACTGAAGTGCAGCAGCAACAACCCAATCACCCACACATCCACCTAATTAAGGCTGGTGCCCTGAGAGACACTGCTATGAACTGGGAAGCATGGTTGCTGAATTGTGATGGTTGGCCCAACCCCGTAAACCGATGTAATACAAACAATGCGAGAGACCTCACCGACCTATGGTTGTGTCAGACGTTCCCATTCGTCTCAAAAGTCGTCGGCTGCCTTCTCATGTCACCTAGAGATGGGAGTTCAGGCCGATTAGACACAATCACCAAACGCCACTTGAGAAACTTAAAAGAATTCCTTCATAAAGGGAAATGTCTAAATTGCCACCAGTTCTGGTGTACTTGTAAGCAAATAGCAGAAACAAGAAGAGTACTCTTAACGTAGATCGATAAACTCGCAGCACGGGCGGGGAGGAATGGCGCCAACTCCCAAAGTAGCTATTTACCTGATGAAGTTTGGCGAAGCCGAAATCCTGGTGAGGGTTAGGAGTTATTTGTGTTCTTCGTCCCATAGTCCACCAATGGACGCATCGATTTCCCAACCCCCTACTCGGTGCTAGGACTTTGCCGGCCATGCAGGGGACGTGCGAGTGAATATCGCTCTCAGTGGCAGGGCTGGTGAACCGATCTGCTAGGGAATTGCTATTCCAGACACTAACACCGGTAAAATCGCTGTGACCAACGATTCGGATGGTGGCGACCAAATCACTAACGCATGAAACATCAAAAATGTCCGACGTACGGAGGAATTACTGACTTTATTAAGCGTTTGGTTGCGTACCAACCTTTTAATATAAATATGCAGCTACTGCATGCCTATCGTCTTCATCTGTCCCCATCCCTACTAATGATGGTTCTGAGAGTCAAACCGAAACGCACGCTCGAAGAACATTTTCGCTTTGCCGATCGAGCCACTCTTTTCCTAAATATTTTGTCAGTTGACTGCGATAGTTGGGCGCTTCTAAAGTGTATTAGGTTTTGGCTGGGGGTGCAGATTCTCGGGTGGCTCAGTCCCTAACGTACTCAACACAGAGTGGAATGTCTAAAATGTCCCTGTCTGATTTCGTCGGGTCCAGCCACTGAACATCAGACCATATTCACCGACCGCACTAAACTCGGGATAAAAGTAATGTTCAGTCACGCGCTCGGTGTTCACCCACTAGTATCTGGCAACAATTTTTAGTCTGCGCACCCGAACTAAAATTC